GGCCTTTGTGAGGCTAAGCTCGTATCGCGAGAAAGGAAAAGTGCCCCAGATATTTGATACTCAGCAACAGTGCCGACACTCAAAGAATATTTAATTTTTTGTCAATATAAAGGCTCGAATCTCGAGACAAAGCCATAACATCACGGAGGATTTTACGTGTTGCTGATTTCATTTTAATATTGAACTCTGGTTTAGGACGATGTAAGCCTTTGTAAGCCTAAACTCGTATCTCGTGAGAGGACAAGTGCCCCAGATATTTGGCACTCAGCAACAGTGCCGACACTCAGAATTTTAGGAATATTTAATTATTTTGTCAATATAGAGGCTGTAATCTTGAGTCGAGGTAACGTCGTGGAGGATTTTACATGTTGCCATCTAACTCTCATCATGATCCACTAGTGTTTGTGTTCTCATGGTAAAGGATTCCTTCTAGAAAACCAAGCAGTTCTCTTGATCTATGCCGGTGTAATTTTAATATTGCTTTCTGGTCTAAAGCTTGGCTGATGTGGGCCTTTGTAAGTCTAAGTTCATATCTCGTGAGAGGATAAGTGTTTACGAGCTCGATGAAGAGCACGAAAAATATGAAAGAGAAGCCGCTGAAGGTCTTCATTATCTTAATTTCTACAAATTGCATTGGTGAAGGATTCTCGTCACAAAATCTAAGGAAATTCGACGAGAACTACAGCAGCGTTAAGGTGATGTAAAGGCCTTCTGTATTGTTCGTTTTATTCAAGGCCTCAGGCAAAGGATTAACGTAAAATAACATAACAGAACATACATGTTTATTCAAACTCGTATATAACTACATAAATTTGAAAGGGACAGTCAAGAGGTTAACCCTATGAATAAAACTCTCCTAAAAACTACAAAAAACAAAAAAAACCCATAAATTTATAGCTTTAAAAAGGATTTAAGTTTACATTCAAAACGTTCTAGGCTACCGGCTTCAACAACATTACTAGGTAAATTATTCCAATGACTAAGTACATTGTTAAAAAAAAGAATATTTGAAACAGTTAATTCTAGATAATTTACAATAAAGCTTATACGAGTGATTCGCCCTAGTGGATTTGACTTTTGCGAATTCAAAGAATTCCTCAAAATCCAAGTGTGATAAGCCAAACACGATCTTATAACATTCAACAAGAGAGGAATATGTCCTACGACATCTCCTCAAGAGCGGTTTGCACCACTAAAATGGTCAACGATGAGAGATGATATACTTAAACCTCTGAGTGGAACCCAAAGTTCGAGGATCTATGTTCAAGGATCAAGAAATGAACACGTCCAAGTATAAAGCAGCCGGAAATAATATTGATATTAATGATAAGAGCAGAGAAGAGCGAAGACAGCCAAAGATACTGACAGGAACGGTACTGTTAGTCTGTGCCTCCTTAAAAGATACAGCACGTCAGTGCAAAGGTTGACTCACAAAACCAAATGATAATGAATATCGCAGTGTCAGTCAAGCCATAATCGATTCGAAGCAGCTTATTAACAAACTCTTTACGTTAACAATTATATTGACACGAAGACAACAATCTGCTGTCTAATCCTCACAGTTGTACCCAAACTGTTTGCGCTCTTTTAACGAACTATCTTGATGGTATTAACAAAGATTTAGTAATACATAGACAGGTAAAAACAAGCGATATCATATCCCGACGTTTCGGCGACTTCATGACGCCATTATTAAGGGTACAAATGAAAATAAAATTAACAAATGCGAGTTCAATTAACACCGAGTTTCAACGTGCAAACGGCTTCCATCCGTGCTAAAGTATTTGTGTAGCTACCTCCCCTATGTAAATTAGTTGTAACTCTTGAACTCGCATTTGTTAATCTTATTTTCATTTGTACCCTTGATGATGGCGTCATGAAGTCGCCGAAACGTCGGGATATTATATCGCTTGTTTTTACCTGTCTATATCTTGATGGTATTTCGTATTTATTTAATTATAAATATTTTTTTTAGTACATAGTTTTCTATCTATATTATTATCAGTATCAGTGTAATGCATATGTATACTATAGTTTTAGTACATTGTTGTGCTCAGGGCTCCTATTGATAACGGACAGCTTTTTGCATCTGAAGGGGCTACCCTGAGCGGTATAAATCAATAAAGGTTCTTCTTCTTCTTCTTCTGTAACGTTGTCGAAAAGAACTACCAACAGTTCACCTAATATTTAAATGGCGGAAGATTTTGTCGATTGCAAGTAAAGCATAAACATTCCAGTTATTATAGTGTTGTATGCAGCGTGAATTATCTGAGCTCTTGTAATCTTTCGCGATGTTGCATGGAATCGAGTTTATCTCATAACCTTTAGATATATCAAAGAAGTCACCACAAGTGAATACTTTGTGTATGAGTGCAAAATAAAATAATTGACGTCTAGCCTGATTTATTTTCATTTATTATACTTAGATAAATGTCATTTCTTACTTTATTTATTACTTTATTACTTTATTCCATGATTTTATTACTTTATTACTTTATTCCATGATTCACACATTTTCTTTGTTACTCAACAACCTTTATTTAACTTACAACCCTGATGAATATTAACAAACTGAAAGTCCGGGGAGGGCTTGATAATGTAACAGGGAAGAGCGGGGCTGATGATTAGACCATTTAACCGTTGTCTGCTCAGTGACCTGGCCTTTGAATGGCAGCGAGGGCTGGAGGTGAGCTGGTTTTGATACAGACCTCACTACTTTTGTTGTGTAAATGAAGTTGTTTTAAAGCTAACTAAGTGCATTTACATGGCAAAAGCAGAGAGGTCTGTATCAAAGCAAGGTCACCTCCAGCCTCGTTGCCTTTCATAGGCTAGGTCACCAAGCAGACAACTGTAAAAATAGTCTATTGAATTTGATTGTAAATGAGGGATTTAAATCCCTCGATTCAGGGATCATTCTGTTTCGCTCCATTGCCCATTCAGACCAAGTACGAACTGCCCACGATGTATTTATTCTTGTATTTGGCGGTATTCGAGATTCCTTCCTCTTCTCAAGTTCTTCATCGTCAACGATCAAAATCTTCCTTACTGCTTCTGGGAAATTCGATGGGTTCGTCCGTCCATCCTTGATGCTTTCCTCAGTCACTACTTGCTTTAATTCTTCCGCGCACGAATTTCGTGGAGCAGGCTCATCACTAGCAACTAGGCCGTCTAAAATAGAATCAATACTAAAATTGTGTTGTAATATTTCTTATTTTGAGTAAGAAAAAGCTCCTCGTCGTTATACATGCAGTCCATAACGACAGCACAAAAACAGAGAAATGAGTCGTTGGGAACATTCGTACACATTTACCGAAAAACTAGTAAACAAGAACAAAAGCATAATATAAAACAATAGAACACATAAACAAAAAAAAAAAGGAAAATGCAATGCTAAGTCCCTTGTGGACTCGCCAAAATATCAAAGTACAAAAAAGTTTAGCGCTTGTCACGAAGTAATTCGCAACAACCTTTCATAGTCCTGTAAGAAAAGCATGCATCAGGTTGCTTTCATTGTATCTGCTTTGATCCGACAATGGTGTGACCGTTCTAATCAGCTGGTGTTTGGCCCCTTGAAGAAAGAATCGTCTCTAAAGATCCTCATGAATAATATCATCAAATAAGTCAGATAAATACCTCGAAAGTCGGTATCAATCCATAGACATCCCTCGACCCGTACGGCCCTCGGGATGTCTATGAATTAATACCTCCGTTTTCGGTATTTATCTCTTACTTTAATCACCAGGTTTTTTGTGTTTATTTTAGGAATAAATTAGAGACCACAATTCTTCTTTACAGTTGGTTTTCTATCTGGACCTTTTTATCTATAATAGAGGTTTTGCACAGCAGCCATGTTGCATGGCAGGAACAATAGATTATTTTTCCCATGGGAAAAAATTTTCTTTCTTATGCAAAATATTTTCATTGTTGCTGCCATGCAACATAGCTGCCATGCAAAACCTCTATTGGGGAAATACAGAGGTACTGTTGGGTTCTATGGTAGAAAACGTTTAGTTCCTCAAGAGTTGTACTGTTCCTTCGAAGATAAATTCTACTTGATCTCGAATCTCGAAAATAGCACCACAATATAAAACCTCTAAACATGATCACTGTGGAAATTCTCCAAGGACGAAAGAAGCGGGGTGAAAACTCGAGCGAATAGCATTGGATGGCCCTTCCGGGCAAGCGGTGTTACAGCAGCGGCCAACCTTTACTGTTGGTGACCCCATTAGGCAAGCATTGAATTATTGGTCCTTTAGTATTCCGAGTTTGTTGAGCAACAAAAGGCTATAACAAAAATCTAAAGATACGAATGCAATTCCCAGTCGACTGCCTCAACAGAGTAGTGAACGTTACATCCTCATTCCATCATACTAAGACACAAAACCGGATACAGTAAGAGGGACGTCACTAAAAAAGGAATGATCTTTATCGTTTGGACAGACACTCAACGTCCTGGGGATGGTTTCTCAATGGAGGGGGTTTCGGTAAGGTGCAACCCTGTAAAGACCACAGGGACGGAATAACCCACTCCTTACTGAAACTGACTCCCTGAAAAATGGACAGTTGTTGTTTTGAGTGTTTGTCCTACGGAAACCTCCTTTTCAGACCACACACGGCTTGTAAACACTTCGCAACCATACTAAGTATGAGAATTTTCTAAACTCAACCTAAATAGGTGTAGGTAAGTACTACTCATCTCTGGGGTGTTCACTGATATTAATTCATGTTAGCCAACACAATGACCAGCTCCCAGTTAGCTTTTTGGTTCAGTTGGTAGAGCACTGCATTGATATCGCAGCGGTCATGGGTTCAAATCCCGTACAGGCCTGAATTTTTTTCAGGCGTTATTTTATTACTGCTCAAGGAGTGTTCATTAGCACAAAGATCGCTTTGATATTCATTATGTTAGCTTGTAAATGATACCAGTACTCAGCTTCATTTAAGCAACAAAACGTTTGCAAAGATTTATCACGCAGAAAAAAACACCAAAAACAACATTATCAATGGAAACTTTGTTCTTGACAATAAAGTGTTCGAATGTTACAAAGAAATATGCTTTTTCGCTTGTCACGTGCGTAGGACAAAGAGAAAATCTAAGTCACCACGAGGAATCAAAATTCAGACCTTCAGATTCTGCGCTCCGACTATCCTTCATTCCCCTCCTACTTATCCCATTCATCCATTCTATTCATACAAAAGTTTTAGACCTAATAAGCCGGTAGTAAGACAATACTCCATCAACAAAACACGTTTAATTATAATAATCTTGAAGGATTAGTCTGACACACTCTCACTTGATTACGACCTCTGCAGGGCAAATAGTATAATATTAAAAAAATGTATTTCCAGTTAATGTTAAATCGATTTTCAGAAGCATTTCTCTAAGGTGATACTTTATCCTCAAGGGAAGTACCTCATAACATGTCTGTTTTGTTAAAAATACTCGTTCAAAATTAGAAAATTGGTGAAAACGCCATTCTAATAGATCTACAAACTCTTTTTTTTCCTAACTATCCTAACATACTTTCCACTTAGGGTTTTATTCCATACAAAGGCAATTCTCTGGGACACTAAAAAGAACTCTAACGATAGTTTCGTTTAACTCTGTTATCGGACCCTTGTGCTAAGCCTTTACAAAAAACGTTTTTATTCTCACCATTATTTTAGTGATGTTTTCAATAATTTCACTGCCTTTAGCAGTTAGAATGGATTGGAAAAACAAAATACTACTACGGCCGCTGAACTTTGGTATCAATTTCAATAAAAGCCGTTTTTTGGACCCAAAATCGCCACTGTGGTGTGAACTGGGCGCAAAATCGAAAGAGAAAAACCAATGCGATCTCAAATTCATCGTCCTTCCGTTCATGAGTATTTTACGCGCTTATTTTAGTAGGCGTGGTACATGCGTTTGCAACTTACTGCTTGCATCTTTACCTTAATGACGGCTCTCTACAGGTAGCTTTGCTTCGGATGTTGAGTTTGTTCTTTAGTTACTGACGAGTTTTTAATGTGAGGAAATTGCTGTTGTTCACAGACTCTTACTTGTTGCTGGTGCGGACTGATGAATTTTTTGTCGTGATTGAAGACGCAGAGAGGTTTCTGAAGTTTATGATTGTCGTTCTCTCTACTCTTCTGTACATTTGGTGATTTAAGATTCACTTGCTGCTCACTGCAAGTCTCATGTTGTTGACTCGTTTTTGGCGTCATTAGACTACCTGGAGATGGAAATGAGAAAGCACGCAAACTCTCATTCATATTTATTTCCCAACTTTCTAAATGCGGTGTAGGTTTAGCATTTGAGTTGACAGTATTTTGATGACATACAGTTGGAAGTCCAGTAGAATTTTTGAGCTGATTGAGGTATCGTTGGCATGAACTGGATATTTCCAACTGAGCTGCTTTGGAACAGTTTGTTTACCATGATCTCTCTTTGAAACCTTCTACGTCTGAAGAAGGGTTACCAGGTAGGACAGCACTCTCTGTTTTTCCTTTACTGCTATCCAATAACGACGGTCTTGCAAGCTTTTTTAATCTATCCTCAATATGGTTTTGGGGCTGGAGATGAACGTAACGATTACTTATTTCAGAGTTATAGCTTGACTGTGGAACTGGATTCTCTGATTGAGAACTAAATAAGTCTTGCTTGTCAGTAGATAAAACCTTTTTACACGTCCTTGGTGCACGCTGTGGAATGAACGATGCTCGACTGGACTCAAGAAGCTGCAACAGAAGACGCTCCTTGTCAAAACTAGGGGGCATCCTAGTACCGCCGAAGCAATTATCTGTACATTTTTCGCTTCTAGATGAATTCTCAGGCAAAGAGAAGAGTCTCGCTGGATCTGAGATCGACTCTCTACCGCTACGTTGCATTGTCTCGATTTGCTGCCTCATTGGTGAGATAGAATACTGATTCCTGGCGAACTTTGCCTCGGCATTCAGAAACTGTGGTATCTGAGCCAGAACATGTGGATTTGGCGCCTGCAGTTCGGTCACTGGTAGAGCGAATCTCTCATTAAACCCCATCAAAGGAACTTGTTGTTCTGCTTTTGTACCTTTCGTTGAATAAGGAAAGAACGTCGGTTTGAAAGGAACATGGTAACGGATGCCAGGGGAGCTTTCGGATGGCTTTCTCGTGTGCTGGTCGCACTCTCGACCATTGTAGGTTTTGCCAGAAGAAAGCAAGTTGTGAACATTGCCTGGGTTAGTTGAAGAAAGCGCTTCTTGGGCTTTACTTGTATTTACCGACGTGAATACAGTCAACATTTTATTAGGGAAACTCTCAGTAACTTGGGAAATGGCAGCTCTCTCCAGGTGGGGAAACGTGCGTTGGTCGCTTCGGGAAGAGTTACGTATTCCATTTTCGTACTTTGGCAAAATAATGCCTGAGTTATATTTCTCTTCCTCGTGGGATGATAACTTTAAAGGACTTGAAACCGTTTTTGTACCATCAGCTCCTACTATTCTGTTAAAGAACACTTGTCCATGAGTACTTCTTCTGCAATAGGGATTAGATACAGCAGCTGAACTTTTTGACGGTAAGTCTTGTTGGAGTTTTGAGCTTGGCGTTTCCAATATATATGGAATTTGATGCAGTGCTCTCTTTTCGTTGTTTACTCTGTCGTGATTAACGAAATACCAACTTGGATTTGGCCTTTTAACCTCAATACTGCCGTTAGGTAATATCCTGTGAGGTGTCGGGATGAAGACTGAAGTGGATGTTACCTCGCTAAGCTTTGGAGGAGAAATTGTATTTCCTGACGCAGCATCTTTAACTGGTATGCTTTTTCTGTCATCAAAACCAGGGATGGAAATGGGAATGGCCACTACAAATGGAAATTTAGAATCCGTTGAAGGAAGCTGCTGTGAAGTGTTGCAACCAGTTTTTGGGGACTCGGTACACAGATCACTCTTACAGCATTCTTGAGAAACACGGGGAAGGTTTCCTGGAAAGAAATTGTTTTTATGCAGCCCATTAAAGGGACCCGATATCTCCTTTAATCCATCGATTTTTGTGTTCCAGGTATTTTTCCACTCGTCCCCCTGTTTGCTCTCTGCTTCGGATCTCTTCGTATCTTTAAACTGCTGATTAACTAACCTCACCCCGTGCCTCTGAGGGGAGCACTCGTTACAAGAATCTGATTTCGTCGTTTGTTCAAGGAGAGGAGAAGTTAGTCTACTTCCACTGTGGGTGAAAACCGTGGGGAAAACTTGGTCTATTCCTGCTTTACTGCAAAGCTGAGACTCTTCTAAGTTGTTCGATTCTTTGGGAATCTGAAGTCCTCTTATAATGTGAGGCTGGTCTTGCATCGGTGTCACAGTGATTGGCACCGCTTCATTTACAATATGAGAGAGAAGGGGCACGGTATTCTTAATGGCCTTGGTGCTATCATTACAAGAAGATACCATAACCGCTTTGGTTGAAAAAGTTGTAACTGTACAACATCCTTTATTGGCCACGGTCTCAAGTGAATGTTTAATTCGATTTGCGCAAGACGTCGTTGAGATCGCTGGTAGATGGCCTAAAGAAACCGCCTTCTCTTCGCAGATGGACATCGTGGGGAAATTCAGAGCTAAGCCACCCAAGGAGGAAGTGTGGGTATTTGGTATTCTGTTAGGAATTCGAGGAGATGTGGCATCACGTGATGCCAGTTGATGAAGTCCAGTAACAACAGTTGTAGTAGTTGATTTTACCCTTTGATGGAATGAACCAGCTCCATCAGTAACAGAGGTCAGAGAATCATAGCTTATAACATCGTTGGACAACTCACGAGTTTTAATTATATCTTTTTTACAGAAATTATGAGTGGGAGATAGAGACGGTGCGCATGCGTCTGCGGGTAATGCTTGTACCAATCCAATATTCTTTGGTTTCACGTGAGGTTTCTTCTGCATCGAAGTTGTCTGGGCAGTGGTCGGAAGAACCTGAAAAGTCGTAAAGTACCACACTAATTTTCAATTTGTAAAAAAAAATTCTAAAGATATGTTACATTCACAATGTATTCATGAAAGGTCGGATTTAAATCCATTTGTTTCATCGCTGTCGTTTTGGAAAGGAGGGGAAGGACAAACCAAAAATGGCAGTATGAAGCAGGATTTAAACAGTCGGAAGAAACGTGTCATAAATGGTAATCAAACAAAAGTTTTGACAGAAATTTAATTAAGGCAATACAGCTGGTAGAGAATTTCCGAAGCTACCTGCAGAACCAATTACACCAGAGTGAGGTTCGGCTCATAAAGCCAATTCGACCTGGGAAGTTCTTTGCCACGTTGTGAAATAAAAGGTACCGTACAAACATGTCAATTTTTATTGTGGTATCAAAAACACGCGTTTGGTAAGCCAGTGATCAAACCTCTTGTGTCCTCTGCCGGCAAACTACTTCCTTGAGTGCTCTGAATAAGACCACGACCCTGTGTTTTAACCTCTTGTTTTCAGTCTCTAATGCGGATATTTTATCCCGTAAAATTTCAGCGTTGTTAAGTGCTTCCCTCGTGTGATCTTTAATCAGTTTCTTGATAACCTTATGAAGAGAGAAAAATTGAAAGTTGTATGATATTAACTTTTACATTTTGTATATCTAATTTGTGGAGGGCACGGTGACCTCATGGTGAGTGCGCTTGACTCCGGATCGAGTGGTCGACAACCCTGGCCTGGGACTTTGTGTCTTGTTCTTAGGCTACAACTTTACCCTCACAATGCCTCTTTTCACCCAGCATCCCATCCAGGGAGAGTTAGAAATACTCCTAGTCGCTTCATGCTACGGAAACCGGAGTTAAGCACCAGCCTAATGGGCCACTTGGCTCATAAACAGACTTTACCCCCCCTCCCTCCCCTCTCCCCCTCTTTTACATTTAACTTAGAGAGCAACAATTTTATTAGGTGTTGAATATATAACTTACATCACGCATGTTCTCTTCCGTGAGAGGACCAGAAAACAAACCCTCGTGGAAATATTGCTCTGCGGCTATCGGGCTGTCTAAGGTGTTTCCACTGCTTCTTTCTAAAGAAACATGTTGTCGAACATTTTTAAAATGTTGAGTACTCATGTTAAAGTCGTAAAATTTTTCAACGTTATATAGTTTAAATTGGAGACTTCCATAGAGGAATATTGTATTTTTGGATATTCTTGGAAAACCGAAATACCCTTCAAATGATTGTCTTTACCTTGCGTGTTGTGGGCATGCACTATTTTCAGTCTCCTCTTGGGAGCTTGTGTATTTTCCCTTAATTCCATCTTGGACAAAGTCAGGGCATTTTCCTGATGGGGTGCGTTCGTGCCATCGCTTTCCTTTCTGTCTGCTGTTCCTGTGCTTTCAACAATCTTTTCACTGCATTTTGGTAATTCAGGGTCAATACGCTTAAAGTTCCATGTCATTTTATCGTCATGTCCTGGCTTTTGGCCGGCATTTACGTTTTCAACTTTAGTCTCGCTCACCAGCGAAGGAGCACCATTTCCACCGAGACCTTTAGATCACATATTATGAGTAAATGGATCGTCGAATTGCAAACAGAAGGATATACAGGAATACAAAGCCGTGATAAACCTTCCCACTAGCAAAGGTACGGCTTGTACTTAAAGGAGGAAAATGCTCCAAAAAACATTTATTTCATCTCCACCGTAAAACATTCTACAAGAATTCACGACGCACCGCTCTTTAAGATCGCTTAGAGAACTGAAATAGTCAAAAGCTGTATTTGAAATTTTAAAAATTGGCCTCAGTAACAACTCAGTGACCTGGTCACACAACATGCTACACAAGCACAATGCGTGGTTCACAAACGACGGCTGTTCTGTTTGGCGCAAAAATTGAAAAAAGAATTAGATTAAAAAGAGAAAGAATCTTAGATATTAATACTTTTATTATTGGCTCCTTTTGTTCGAACAGATTGCCACTGGATAGAACAAAAAAGGAATGAGATATTACTACGTCAAAGGTAAAGCCTTAAGAGTGTTAAAAAGATTCGAAAAGGTATTTTGTAATGAAGAGGAGATAAACAATTTTGTGATATGACTCGTTCGGCCCCGCTAACGCAATCTTTAGCAGTGGCGGATCCAGGGGGAGGGACCGGGGGGTCCGGACCCCCCTATCAGACCTGACGCTTACAACTTTCAGACTGAAATTCTTACATCGACAGGATCATATATTACTTTTTAACGGGCTGATTTTTTTAAATGAATCCAAGTAAACGATAAGCGGCCAAGGAATTATAACGTGCAACCGCGACAGGCGGGAGGGGGTGTAGGGGAGAAGTAATTTGCCTCAAAAGAGTCCAACGGTCCTTTCTGAACCAGAGTTTAGACCCCCCCCCTCCGATCAAAAATTCCTAGATCCGCCCCTGTTTAGAAAACCATAGTTAAGGTTAACGTGAGTAGGGGTCAGACGGGTTGACGTGAGCCGATCGGCCCTTCACACGTCAGCTTTCACACGTCAGCTTTCATTATGCTATACTATCGGATTGCGTGAACAGGTCCGGACGGGTCACATGGATTCTAATTGTGGCTCACGGTCATGACGCATGGACCTCGTTTCGGCTCAGTCTGTACGTCACGACCTCGAGGCCACATATTTTCCTGTCAGCCCTCCCACTCAGTCAATAAGTACATATTGTATGATTTGTACTGCATATTTCTCATTTAAATATCGGCGAAACTTTCCTTTCCTTATGGATACAAGAAAGTCGACGTTGTATAATGATAGCCGTTATAGGAAGGTAAGAGCAAAATATGACATCTGCTTTCTATGAAGGGGTAAAAGCATGGAAATGCATAACGCACTCATAATATGTCACTATAAATAAAGAAACCAGAAAATGATGTTCAGGGGGAAAAAAGCAAAGTACAGGAAGTCGTTTGGTTTGATGTGCTTTCGTTCCTGACATCTTATCTAAATATTTGGCTGCTTGAGAAAGTTTTTGCGTATTTCCTACACTGTTCGTTAGTCAATGATTTACAAATTCCCCTTTTGTCGATTTTATTTTGCTAGTAAGGACCCGCCTGCGTGCCGTGAACGACTTTGAAAGGTGGTCGTTGAAGAGGTTAAATAACAGATTGTATTTAGGACCGTCTTCCAGGAATAAAAATAGCTATTGTAGCAAAACATGAGAATATAAACTGAGCAAGATAAAGTAGATTCGATGCATGATAATAAGTAGTTTTTTTAAATAACTCCATTACACAAACACCAGTTGAACATTAAAATTATAAAATTGAGAATTAAAAGACATGTATTTTGCCAATTTAATGGCACAAAGAAATTAACTCACCACAAGATACATCCCCAGGCTCGTTCAGCTTCCTGTCAATGATAGGAGATACAACATTCAAAATTCAATATCAAAATTCTGTTTAAACAGAGAGAAAGTTCGATCAAAATTCAATATTTATTCTGCTTCAAGTTATTTTCAGAATTGAATCGACCCCTGTGCAAAAACAAAAACCCTCTTTGAAACCCAGAGTGAGACTTCTGTTATCTTATTATTCTCAGGTGGCGACACCTGTTTTAATCCTTTTCAATCACCCGATTAATAATGACTTACCTCCGCTTTGGTAGTGTTTCTAAATCCTCCATCGCTTAGTTCTAAAAAGAAATGAAAAGCGACAAAATTGCAGTTGTAACAGGAAGACATATGGGTGATTTTTTTTTATATTTTTTCCTATAAGCATATTTCCATCAAATAAATAGTTGACAGCTGACAGTCTCTAATACGTCCGATCGATAGGCAATTAGCTAAATGTCCTTTTCTGATTCTAATTATCATCCAGCCAAAATACAGCAAATTGCCCATATTTCATGATATCTGACACATTTTTAGCTCTTTTTGAGGCACTTTAGCCCATTGCATACACCTCTAATCGTTCTTAAAACTGTGTTCAACTCGAGGAAGGATGTTCAATTTATTTCTTACGAGTTAGGGCGAAGAATCCACCCAGAGTTCTTAGGGCGAAGAATCCACCCAGAGTTCTTAGGGCGAAGAATCCACCCAGAGTTCTTAGGGCGAAGAATCCACCCAGGACCGGACCATTTTAAATTCGACGATCGAGTGCGATGCGGTCCATAGTCATCATTATTGACAGTTAAAACTTGCATCAGATAAATATTTTTTTCGCTATTCAAGGCGTTGCCTTTGCATGACTTCGTTTCAGCGGATTACAAACAATCCCCCACACATTCATGGCAGATTCAGTTGTAACTGGAGTCGTTATTACCTGAAAAAACTTCATGCAATGGAATCGAGATATCTTTGATCCGGCGTACAAAGATTCAGTACAAAGTCTTGACTGTTGTTTGGTGCAAGATGCCAAAATGTGATTCGCAGAAGCCCCCATCATTGCGTGAGCAAAAGAAACTGGAGACATGTGCACTTGGCTAGACTCGAACATCTATTATTGCGACGATGGCATTGACAAAACCAGAGAAATGAAGCCTGATTTTTTTTCTTTGAATGCTTAAATCCTAAGAAAAAGCTTTCCAGTTATGTATCGAAAAAAGGTACATTGAGAGAATAACAGTAATATTCCCATGGCTTAAATTTACAGCGCAGCAGACATTAAGCAGTATAGCGCTATCAAGATGGCTCTAGCCGAATACTGAAATGTACTTTGAAATTCTTAACATTAAAAAGAATGATAAACTGAATAAATGACAAACTGCAAGAAAAACTGTGATATGCCTGCAACTTGAGACGGCCGTGATAGGTTGATGCCACGTTGCCTGACGGACCGGACCGGATGCACCTGCAAGTCTCCGCTATCAGTAACACCTGTTGGGCAAAATTTGTTCACTGTTTACATTCGTAAAGTTGACTTGTCAAGAATACGTGCAGGAGTTCAACTTCCCGTCTATGTTCAACCCTTTACAACTTCCTTGACAACTGCTAATGTCCTTCTCGAGTGATCTTCGTGAGCAAATTTCGTCATCATCAAGTGCTCTAACAAATCGCGCTGCACAAAAACTTGCAAGTCCATTCGCGGAGGTGCCTTGAAAACTTCACATAATTTTTTCCCTATATACTCACTTCCAACAGGTTACTTTTACCTGAGCATTATATTACACGGGAAACTGTTTTTTCCTGGGAGTAGAAAAAATTTACTGTATAAATAATTGCTTGCTGTAAATTTAGACTGCGATTGACGTATTTGCAAAACGTTTCCGCACATTAAATACTTCAATAATATACATGATCGCCGAAAAAACATAAAAGCAATGATGATCAAATGCGAAAACATTTTCAGTGATTTCAGTTGACCATAAACAGGGCGGTGACGAGCACAAAAGTAAATTCAGAAGATCAAGTTATCGCAGCGTTTAGTTATTTACATAACTTGAATTTTCTCTAGCAGCATTTAGATCAGTTTTAATTGTATTGTTTTTCGGTAAGTATTACCGATTTGACATGTCTGGTTTTTAATTTTCTTCGCCTCCACCCTGTATTTTGCCTCTGTTTCCATTATACATCATGCAAATTACTGCCATCTGTTATCATAAGTGGCCGTCAAATGTAAAGTTTTATGAAAAAACTAATAAAAAACAAAATAAAATAAATATATATATATATGAACTTCATATATTCATTGTAACCAAAACTGGTTTAAGCTAGCAATTTCTTGAAAGAAAATTGAGAAAATGTCACCAATTTTAGTTGCAGTAGAACGTGGCTCTTAGCATTACCAGATCTGAAATACTTGTTGTGGGAGTGACTATAAAGCAGAAAGGGGTGTTTTAACGCAAACAAACTAGCAAATTAGAATGCTTATTCCGGTACAACATGGAACACTTGAAGTTTCGTTTTCCTGCTACAAAGACCAATTCAAATGTTGCAGTAATATTGCCAGGTCATCGCCTTTCCAGGCCACTTTCTGTTAATGAAAGTGATACAGAAAATTCATTTTGAATACTCGCTGCAAAACGAAACGTCGGGAAAGGTATTTCGAGAGTTTATCTTTAGAAGTCGACTTTCACATTTAAGGCATTGCATGAACACGATCAAAAATCCAAAATCGTAGTCAATGCGAAATATTTCTCATGATAACAATGGATTTTAATCATTTTCAATTTATTCTAAACACCTAAAAGAATACATCAAGTCGTATGGGACTTTTAACGGTCAATTGTTTCTAGAGCCGGATCAGCACGATTTTTTTCGCAGTCGAGTTGTTTGATAAGCTTGGAAACATTTGCAGCAGAATACGAAACTTTCAGGCGAAAACTGACAACGAGATTTCGAAAACTGTTTGGCCATAAAATCCTATACGAGCTACTTTAAAAATTTTCAATTAATTGTCTGTTCACCACAGCGCAAAGCGAATGCTTCCTGTCAAGATTTCTTCTTGTATCCAAGACTGCCACTAGAAGAAGTTTTAAAAACTTCGCAATTGCTGTCTGACTCACCTATAAAGAGTAGTCACTCTGAAATACGCCGCACACCAAGCCTTGAATCCGTTGTTACGACGCTTGTTTTAATCTTATGCAAATATCGCTAGTGTGGACGACTTAAGATGCTAAGATGCCATCTGCCAAAGAACTGATTGACAGATAAATAAAGGCTGATTGACAAATAGAAGAACATGTATTGCGCTACTAAACAGACTCCTTTGTCCATTAAAATAATTTCAACCAGACTACAATTTACAATTTAATCTTTATTGTTCAGGTCTAATAAAGGCAGGCTCTACTGGTTTTAATTTAAGGCTTCCGAGTAATAATACTGACACCAGTTTCATAGTCATCTCAATAACATGACAGAGGACCACAATGGCGATACGATTTTAACAAAAACGTTACATGTGTTTTTTGTTTCTTTTTCTTTTTTTTTTAGCCAGGTTCAAAATTCAGTTTGAATAAACGTCTTGAAAATTTCTCTGAATTATTTTTATCCCAGCACTGCTTTCTCTATATGGTTTTTCACAAAATTAACTTCCCTCAGCTCTCTAGCTAACGTCATGTCCTTAGGCTGCCAAACAGAAGAATCGAAATTGTTTCGTTATTGAATAGAAACCAAAAGTTTTATATTTCTCTTGAAAGGAGTCTCACGCAATGCTAACACCTCAAACAGTGATAGGCGTTCAACATGCAACTGTGCTCAAAAGTAGTATTCTAGTAGATCTAAGCACCTGTCTTCACAAATTGCGCAAAAAGAAAAACTTAGCAAGCACATAAAACTACCGTTTATTTGCAGTACTCAAATTTTAAGAGCCCGCTATCCATGGCAGAGTAGCTAACCAATATCTAGCTTGGTGTAATAACTTCTGACTGTTTCTCCAAATATTCCTCCAGTTTGCTCGGTAAAGGCTACCGAGAAAAGGCATCCGATATGTCTTAAAGGTAGCTATATAATATATATATCTTATTAACCAAGCGCGAGGGCCGTACTGGGAGAATATCGGCCCGAGGTCTTGACAGTACGGACCGARCGGAGCGAGGTCCGTACAAAAAAGACCGAGGGCCGATATTCTTCCAGTACGGTCCCGAGCAAGCTTGGTTAATAAGAGATTTATTATACGACTGGAGTTCAAAAGGACACAAGTGCGGTATCATTCGGGACCATTCGGGACAGTGCCCGGTCCAATACTGAGAGATTACTGACCGGCAATAGAGCATTTTAATTGGTTGATTTTAGTTATTGGCCCTCTGACTGCCCGAATCGTGTAATAAGAGAGATATAATGTGACTTATAGTCCATCAAATATTTGGACTCGGTCTAAACGCGTCACATGACCATGTATGTCCCAACAAAAACTGAGGAATATCTCGTTTTATTATATAGCTGGCAGCGCTTGGGGGCAAAACAAATCATATCCTGTGTTCTGATTGGCAAAAACGTAAAAACGCAAAAAGAAAAAAGAACTCGGTTAATATCCAGCCATCTTGAACTTGCGCTAAGTCAATAACGCATACATATACCCCAAGTTGATTTTTAAACCATATTTCCGGTACAATCAAAAGTCTCCGTTTGAAATTTAATTCAAGATGAGAGAGCGTTTTGTTGTCGTAACAGAGGAACGGATACAACCGTTTGTCCATAAGATCGTAGAACATCCAGCGAACAATGAAAAGTAAACATCCCACACAATAAACGGTAAGCTGTTCGGGAAAAGATTATCCCTCGCGTTTCATAAATATTTGAAGGATAATTTACATAATAGCCTCCATTTGGCTCGAAGCTCATAGATTTCCTTGAGCTTTGATCTCGGAAAACTGCTTTGTCCGTGGACAAATATCCGAGCATTTTTTTGCGCCATAAGGAGGCTATTTTTTACAGGCTATATTTCAATTCAACAAACAAAAAATTAGCAAATGAAAAGAAAAACTTCGGTCACAAGCAAGTGTGACACGAAGCGGTACTTACGAGTAGGTAGGTAAACTTCTTTTGATCCGTCATTAAACCGGCCAATAAGAAAAGTACCGCTGATTACAAAGCTTGGACAGCAATTCGAGTGAGACTTCTAACACGTGATGACGGCATTCAATATACGTCATTATCAATAAGAGTAGGTAAAGATGAGGGACCTACTCGTCAGAAAGTCCTGAGCAAGGGCTGTAAGGGATTGGACCACAAAAAAATTGATTTCTGTATTACTCAGAGTGATACACTTAGATATCCACGGCAACTTGATTTTACTCACTGAACAGAACACTAACTAATTCCCCAATTACTTTGAAATTATACCCCATGAGAGAGTGACAACTTTTAAACATTTTCATGAAAGAAAGCAAAAAATATATAAATTCCTCATATCTCCTGCTTTTTTTTTTTTTAAATAATAACGTGGGGGTTGAAGAACAAGACATACACACTTCTATGGTATGTTATAATGCCAAAATCAACCTTCAAAACAGACCGCTCGAGCTCTGGACCAAACTAAAAACATAAAGAAAAAAGGGTGTAGACGGTTCGAATAGGTAAATTATAGTTTAAAATGAGCTAATTACAAGGAAAAAATATATTTAAAAAGTAAAAACCAAACGTAGTTGTGACTTACCTTCCCTGTAAAAAGGAGACGGGCGTAAAACTCATCAAAAACTTCTAACACTAATAGTGGGTCTGTAGTTATGTTGATGACGAGAAACCAGTCTGTTCCTACAGCAGTCAGGAATGTCTGTCGATTTAAGGCGGGAACCATTAGCAACTCGGCCGTTAATTATTTTGCGGTATGATCGATTCATTACAGGATTATTTTAACGTAAGTGACTACGTGCGAAGATTGCGTCGTTCTAATCGAAGCCAAGGTCATAAATGTCATCCTTGGGTAGGGGGGCTGGATACACCTCGATGGAAGCATTCTTCAAACATAGAAGTTTTTTTTTCTTCACATGAACTCGCATATTCCATATCACATTTTTGCGTCATGAAAGCGATCAGAAGAAATAAACGGTAGACAACAAAAATTCTCTTTTATCTCGCTTTCACTCACACACTCAATCACCTTTTATTTCATTCTGAATCGTCAAATTGATATTTTTACGTAAGAATATTGGATTGCTTCCTTAACTTTTTTTTCTTGTGACGTGACTGAGCCATTTCCATGATGGGACCAGTGTGACAGCATGATGGGCCTTGAGAGATGAGATTTCTCACAGCAACGTTATGGACATGGTTTGATGCTACTCTGGTTTAAGGATTTAATAAGAGGTCCCTTTTTATATGCTCACTAATTAGCTGCCCCTTTTTCTGACGAGCAACTTTTCCACTAAGGGGCCCGTTTCTCGAGCGTCCCTGTAACTTAACGAGCCCGAAACCATCAGTTTAAAATAAAAATTTAAAGGATAGGGAAGCAGGTTCTGGCACTCAAACCAGCCCTTTTTGTTTCTTTAGCTGATAGTTTTATTGTTTCATTTTTAAAACTTTTGAAATCCCTATTTTGAATGAAAACAGAACAGCTTTACGGGCCCGTTAAGTTACCAAGACGTTCAAGAAAGGGGCCCAAGGAATGGTAAAGGACAAATTGCACATTACGCCTTCGTTGTTTCATTGCCGTTTCTCTTCAAGCCAAGTGTATTTCCTTAGCGACATCTATTTCATCCTTTGTATGAGTCCTTCATTCTTTCATCTGATTTCGATCACTCTCCTTCTTCATACACAACTCTTCATCCTCTCAGTGTAATCCTTCACTCGTCGTACGCATTGTAATAACATATATGAACAAATTACGCGCTTCTGATTGGCCGAAAGGAGTGCACTTTTCATGTAACACAAGTGCAAATTACAAATGAGCGTCAGTCTTAATTTACTGTGATGCTTTTTTCATGTAAACTATTACCAAGTAATAACATTATTTCGAGTGCGATTTGGTGTAAATAATTTGAATATATCAACAAAGTTGAAATGGTAATTTCGCTCCGACGAAGGGCTAACGCTCGAAACGTCAGCTTTTGTAATCATTACGGTGGCCAATTTACCATTTCAACTTTGTTGATATATCCAAATTATTTCGTTACTCCCACCGAAGCAGCCCCAAACAGTTTCTTTCGAAACTATCAGCCTTTATTCATTCGATTTGGTGTAAATAAGCCGACTAGCACATTTTTCAAAAACTGTTGAATTGCACTCGCCCTACGGGCTTGTGAAATTTTGCTGTCTTTGAAAATGTACTCGAGCTTATTTACACCAAATGCAAATTGTACTCAAAATCATGGTATTACCTGTACGTAGTCCATCGCTTGACTCAATGAGTTATATACACCTGTGATGATAGCTAAAGGTGGTGCCACCTAGATGCACATCTTTGAGTATTCAGGCGGTCGTAATGATAAAACGTAAGTGAAAATATCTTGTTTTATTTGTCATATGAAAAGCGTTTGAAAATAAATTGCAGAGTGTTTTTTTATGCTCACCGACTAGTTCTTGTCGCCCATTTATGATAAACATGGACTCAAGCTTGCGCTGTAGAGCCCCAATGGCTGCTTTGTGACTGAAGATGATCGACCCCCCAATTTTAAACTCAGACGTTCCACAGAGGGCCAGAATAAAAAATCACGCGTGCATTTGAACGCGAAATATCATATAACATCATCAACTGCAACGAGCTATCACGAAGTTTGGACACACTCGCCACGATCAAACGAACAAAGCTATCATCATATTAAATTTGATAAACAAGTAAACCACTTTCAACACTTCTCCTTCACCTAACTGAATGAAAAAGTAAGAATATTCAGTGTCTCCTTAACAAATCATAACCTCAAGAGTTTCCGCAGGAAAATAAAAAACTAGCTGATTTTTGTAGGGCAAGTAGAAATACAGCTTTTTCTTGCGATTATATATTTAATTTACAAAGACAAAGCAAAACCATAGAATACAATGCAGATCATAAACTGAATACTGTGGTGGTTGCCCGTGTTCTATCGGAGTACAGCCGTTCTTCTACTTCTTCGCGTGTCAAAAACAAATTTCTACGAATTTTGTTTTCAATCAATTGATTAACGTTTTCCAATCCGCAGGAAAACGTGGTTATTGGCATAATTTGGGTTTCAAAAACAACCATAAACTTGGAAAGGCAAAGATCAGTTAAGATGTTATCCTTTTGTTTGTCTTTGGTAGCCGATAACTGGTTATCATAGTTACGTCCGGTAATTTGATGGACAGTTTTCAAAATATTTTTTGCGTCACTCATATCAACAATATAAAATGCTAATTCGTTGCTCGCCAGTCAACAGTTTACTTGCACATTAAAACAGGTGAAAATTAACACGAATTGGTTTTTTTATTCTAGCACGTTCTTACGAGATCCATTTCATAAATTTCGAAATTGTTTCTTTATTTAATGTTTAGATCTTCCTCTCTTAGTGAGTTGTACTATTTTCTTAAAAAAAAAACGGACTTGAAGTAAAATAAATGAAAATCATAGAGATATCTGAATTCATCAATGAATTTGAGGAGATATGATATGCAAATGTTTACTTTTTCGCTTTTTCCGCAGAAGCAGACAGACTCCGCGTCAGTTGGTTGGAAAGAACTAAAACTTTAAAGCTCAAATAGCTGAGTCATCTTCAAGCTAAAAAGAACTCAAACAGCTCGTTATTTACCTTCAGACTATATCAATTGAAAAGTGAATGTTTTTTTCGTTATTAGGTTTAAACAGACTCCAAAATAACAAAAACATACGAGCAGAACAGCAAAATGTATCAATGAGAACAGAACTATCCAGTTAACATCTCAACGAAAAGTATGTTTAACAATGCCATGTTGAATCTACATAAAGACCGGATGAATATTCTTAACCTATCATATAAATAAAAAATAATAATCCGCTACAAAATTATTCCGTAAAACTGAACGGAAGTTACCTCACCTCTGTAAGTTTGTCGATAGCTATTCAACTCTCTTGAGTCATACGGGTGCTTTTCTCGATCCTTTTCA